CCCCAAAACCCCAAAACCCCAAAACCCCAAAACCCCAAAACCCCAAATTACATAAAGCGGTTGAAAATGTATTATAACTAATAATAAGCTTATCTCTTGCCCTTCATTTTAAGTTTTTCCAGATTCTCCTTAATCCGTCTTTGCTTCTCAGCATTAAATCTACCTGAATTATTCTTGCTAAAAGAGGTATTCCAAGAGGGCTTCTGCCAAGGAGCCTTCTTCTTCCTCTTCTTTTTAGCTGGAGCCTTCTTTCTCTTTGCTCTTAATTTTTTCAGAAATTTTCTAACCCAATACTGGATGGTCACACACTAAATCATAAGAAATGCTGAGATAGGACTTACAGCAGAATCGACTACATTAGCTTTCTTATGTTTGACAAGATTGTCAAACTGTTTGATAATCTTATGAAACTTTGGCTTAAGGTACTTGAAAGTGATAATATAGTCAGTAAAGTAGTTGATCATCTTCTTTTCAACCTTCTTAATGCTCTGCTCTTTGTGATCTCTATCCCTCCTCTTAGAGTTAAGGTAAGATCTCCAAAATAGCTGGATTTTCATTGCAGCAATTGTTCTCTTTTGGACCTCTTGGTATCGCTTCTCATACTCCTTGATCCTCTTCAGCAGGAGATAGTTCTTAAAAGCTCTCTGGATAGCTGTAGCTGCCTTGTGCTTCCGTTGCCTTGCCTGAGCTTTAGCTTGCTTCTGTCTCTTTCTTTGGAGTTGCAGTTCCTGTAAGACATTAGCTGAAAATTACCATAAACTTTTCTTTATCAAGCCGTAATTTCTCCTTTATCAAGGATCTAGAAAATTAGTTATATTGGGAGGAAGATACTTTTGATCCTCTTTCTTCTGCATGTACTGGATCTTATTTCTGTAATTTGGAAATAACCTAGAAATTACTAAGGGAAATATACTGATTTAATAGTAGATCTTGTTGGCCAAGGCGAGTTGAGATCGAGGCTCGCCCGATTAGAAAGCTTTCTACTTATATTAATGGAGTTAAATGTGCTCTTAGGCACCTTCTTAGTTGAAGCCACACTGATACTTCTTCTAGTTATCACTCGATTTTTGAGATACTTATAAAGCTGTCTCTCTGGAGACTCACCCCTATCATTTCCGTTGTTACTTAAATGTAAATGAGGAGCTCTAAAATTACCATTTTTAGCAGATATGATAGAATTAATCCACATTATTATAACGAGGATAACTCCTTCTCAGAGGTAACAAATAGAAGTAACCACTTACATCGAAGTCTGATTCTGATTCTCTCGTCCAGAAATTCGAGGTAAATTTACTCACTTAGTTTGATTTCGGCATTTTTGAAAACGATTTAGGCGTCTGAGACCGGAAACTTGATGACCTATTACAGTAAAATATTAGAAATTGCGAGAAGAATTATCTCAAAACTGTTAGAAGTTCTGTTCTTGATAGCATCATAACGAAATTTGAGTACAAAATATTTAAAAATGGCACTTTCGCCCTCTAAAATTACCAGACTCAAGAAGTTGAATCAAACCAGTAATATGTGCCTATATTTCCCATAACTTACAGATAATAACTGGCTTTGATTGGACTGCCAAATTCACTGGGCTTTCTTGAGGGTGATGGAAATCTTATAGACATTTTGTGTAATTCCTCTAGCTTTAATTTTATTTAAAGGGGTTTTGGGGTTTTGGGGTTTTGGGGTTTTGGGGTTTTGGGG